GGGATATTAACCCTCAAGAGAGCACATAATTTTATTAACTGTCTTTAATCCAATCCCTGCCTTCTGCAATCTTCCTTACGTCCCTTCCTTAATCTGAAATGCATAAATGAAGCTGCAAAATTATTATTCTTCAGAGCATTTGAGATCTTATTCCCTGGCATGTGAAATCAGTTTGGCTCAAATAAACTATTATAAAATTTCTCTACAGGTTCAGATATTTCTTACATAAACAGACGGAACATATTTTTATGTTTAAGGCCCTTTCCAGAAGCTGCTGTGAGGGCACTAGAGCTGGGCTGTTCTTGCCTGACATAAACTCCTTTAACGGGCAACCTTTGTTCTGGGGCTCCCTGTTGGCCTGACTGAGACTTTTGGAGAACTTGAATCTAAAACTCTTTGTCCCTAATTCCCCTACTTCCTCTTTCTCTTCCTTCACAGGTGTCAGCGTGTACTGAGTTCAATAGCTTCCCCCCCAAAATTCATGTCTATGCCTGGAAACTTGGAATGTGATTTTACTTGGAAATGGACTCTGTACAGATGTAATTCACTAAGATGAGGTCATACTTGTGGGTCCCAGGTCTGGCTGTGATCCAGGCTCACGGCTAGGGATAGGACTCCAGATTGAGAATGTTACATTAATTGTAGTAGGGCGCCTGCACCTAACTTATGTAAGTATGACTCAGCTCATTGCATCACGCATGTGTGGCAGAATGCCACTCTTGTTCTCTGACATGTATAAAGCCCCTGCGGTCCCCTAGCACAGAAGAAGCTCGTGCTCTCCACAATAAAGTTGGTGCCTGCTGTTTTGTTCTCATGTCGGCTCCTCGTGCGTTCTTGCAACTGGACATCTCACTACCAAAACCTCCCCTTCTTGATCAGCTCGGCGCTGACAATACTGGATTGAGGAGGTGGACAGGGGGGTCTTTAAATCCAATGACTGGTTTTCTAAGGGCCCTTAGAAGACACGGTGAGAAGAAAGTGGTGTGAACGCAGAGGCAAACATTAAAGTGATGGGTCTACAAGCCAAGGGGTGCTAAGGAGTGCTGGCAACCACCTGAAACTGGGAGAGAGGTACGGGACAGGCCCTTCCTCAGAGCCTCCGGAGGAAACTTGCGCTGCCAACACCTCGATGTCACACTTCTGACCTCCTGAACTGTGAGAGAACGAATTCCTCTTGTTTGCAGGCATCCAGTTCATGGCGCTTTGTCATGACAGCTCTAGGAGCCAACGCGCAGCTCCTCGCTGTGCTCCGAGGCTCCCCCAGCCTTCCACTCTCCTGCTCCCCTCTGTCCTTCACAGGCACTTCCACCCAAGGTATGCCCTGCACCTTTCATGTCATCTTGGCATCTATTTTCCAGAAAGTTAAACTGACATAATGCCTCAAATAAAAAAAAAAATAGCCCAATTTTCAGCAGCTTTCAATCGAAATCTTCAGAAAGCGTCTTTACCATCAATTGAACAAGAATTGTCAAGCTGCTGCTTCTTCTCAGGTGCTGTGCTGAGTGGCAGGGGCATAAAAACGAACAAGACGTAAGTTCTTCCTACGCGCTTTCGCAGCCTAATGAAGAGTTTTGTCTTGAGGAACACTTCAAGAAAAAACGACTTTAATCTCAATACGGTAGCAAAAGTCTTACCATCAAAATATGTAAATTCTATATGGCAGTATAGATGCTTGGACCCAGTCAGAAAACCACCATGAGGGCAGGCAAAACCTATGCTGAGACTTGAAAACTGGACAGAGTTCAGGGTGAAGGCGTTCCAAGCAAAAAGAGAATGTTACAACAGTGTATGTATTCTTTATGAGACTAAAATTAGGCAGCCTTTGAGTTTCCTCCGCCTTGGAGAAAAAGAAAGGAGAAAGCATGGCCAAGTAGTTTTCAGAGGGGGCTTTGAGTTGTGCTGGAGTTGAACCTACAAGGTGGAGCGTCCCTAAACCTCCCCTCACGCCTCACATCTTGTTTGGCATGGGGTTTTGGAAATTCTGTCTGGAGTTGGGATTTAGACAGACATACATGTGAAAAGCAGTCTGAGGATTCCAGGAGAATCTGTTTGCTTAAAATCAACAATGAGAGGAAAATTTCTAAATAAGGAAGGAGTCTGATATTATTTAACAGTGAGGCTCGAAAGAGTGGTTTTGGATAGACTATGAGAGAATTCTCAAACCTAGCCTTATCTAGTTCCCTGGAGGCACCCATGCTAAATCTGTCTGGATGTGGCTATAAGTCACTGACTTCAAGGTATGGGTCACTTCCAGCCATTGCAGTGCTGTGACCACTTCCTTCTTCCCACCACACATCTTCACAAGAATGAACCCTGTAGAGACAGAGATAAGGACTGTACATAGCTGATTGAGTAGCTATCCCAAGGAACATTGGAGGTCCGGAAGGAGCAGTGACACCACATGGAACATGGAACATGGCAGCCTGGCGCAGTCCCCTTAAATAATAAGGGATCTGGAAGCAGACTGCGATGGGATTCCACACGCAGCAGCAGAAAAGAGAGGAGAAACTAACACACAAGTCAAGGGTAGGTCAGTACAACACGTGGCCTATGCAGGTTGGCAGAAAAAAATTTAACCAAAGGCAAGTAAAATGACTCCCAAAAAGCTGTGGTAACCTCAGTTCATGATAATCTCGAACCACAGTGTCCCTTTCCAGAATGTATTCTTTACTCCCCACCAACACAAATAATTGAGAACAGATCATGCTTGGTTAACAGAAAACAAGTAACAAATGGAGCTCAGAGAACCGCTCCTGCTGTGGAAGGCGTGAGTAAAATGGCCACTGCCAGGTTGACCAGATGACAAACCGACATCGTCGTATGCGAGCTTTCTGTAGAGATAAATAAATTAGGAAAAAAGATCAAAAAGGGCCTTCAACTACATGGAGTTGTTTCTACTAAATAGTTTTCCTTAGAGAAGTCCTGACTGTTAGAAGCCCATTACCCTAATAAAGAAATTTGAATCTGGACACAATAGTTCTCCTTTATGAGAAAATTGATAATTTGAGTGTGATCGCCATTCCAAAAAAGGTCTAATATTTTTGATAAATGTTTTCTAACAAAGAACAAGAAGTTCCAAAATTGTTAACATAAGCTTGATTGTGTCAACTTCTACGTCCAATATTAGCACAGAAAGAGTTAGGGGCTATGAATCAGCACCACTGACAAGAGATTATTGAAATAAATAAGAAGCGAATTATGTGTTATTTAAATATATACCTTGCACTCATTTGAAAGGTGTGTGGAAGCAGAAGTTGCTATTTCTGTAACAAAAAATAACATCCAAACAATCTCATGCAAAATATACTACCGGATATTTTATGAATGTCCAGCATTGTGTTGAAGCCATCTAGTTCCACTGCAGCAACTGCGCCTGCTAAAATGCTGAATGTGTACTTAGCCGAGCAGGAGGACGATAGGGAAGGGAAGCATCCTGGGGAAAATGGAATGAATGATAAAATGAAAGAATGGCATTACAGGAGAGAACAACAGATGGGAAAGCAAAATGAAAAAGAGAATGACGAGAAGACCGTAAAAGGGAAGAGAGTCATCTTAGTAAATTCTGCTACTTTTCTGGGGGAAAAAAAAAAAGGCTAAAAAAAGAAAAACCAGAATTTGCTAAAACAAGATCAGAATAGATACTAAAACATTGAACAGAGGGCTGTAGAAAGGAAATGGGAATCTGCTGCCCAGCTGGTCCCCTATCTCTGCTGCAGGCACATTTGGCCCCTCCCTTCCCCGGTTTCTTTGTGAGTGGATCCTGCCTTTCTCTGCGAACATAAAGAGAATTTTAAATGCTCATATACAATCAGTTAGTGTGTGTTTTATCAGAGTCCAGTCTTCCCCGGCTGTCTCTAGACACTCGGGAGTTTCTCCCTGACAATCAGAGGAAGTCAGGGTCTCACCAAACGCCGACACGCAGAGGTGATAGGCAAGGGCCTTAAGGAAAGAGAATGATGCCAGGCTCAGATCGCCCTCTCCTTAGGAACAGCTCTGCTGTCTTGGTATCCTGTGAAGACGTCTCCTTAAACTTTAAAGTGCAGGGAGTCATCTTGGGAATCTGGTTCAAAATGCAGATTCTGGTTCAGAAGAGCCGGGATGACCCGAAATTCTGTGCTCTGATACGCTCCCAGTGATGCCAACGCTACCGATCCTCAGATGGCACTGGAAGAAGCAAGTTACAGAGCACTCTGGTGAACCCAGAGTGAGGAAGCAACACATGTCCTTTTCTCATTTATTACTGTATTTTGTCTGATTCCCAAAGATTCAGAGTTATGACAGTTTTCCTTTACGACTTCCAAGCAGATGGAATTCTCTACCCATAGCGCGGGACCCAAAGCAGTACCAGCTGTGAGTAAGCCCAGCGAAGAAGAACGTGGCACTCAAAGACTCCGGGAGTTCTCACACGCCCCAGCAGCTGGCAACAGGCTGGCCCCCTCCCACATTTCCCACCCTCTTCTCACTTAATCCTTCTGCCATGGGAGGAAACAATATTGAATCATTGTTTCTGAATCGTGCCAACCTGAACGTCAAGGGTATGTTGGAAAGCTTGGATGAAAAAGGCAGAACTATCGAGAAACTGCTAAAAACCGGACTTCAGGATCGAAGCTAGTGGCTTGACTGATTCCTAGATCGACTCTAAAAGTGTTCCTGAAATTGAAGCTTCCTCATTGTTTTGTGTGGGAGATGGAACGTGGGGGTGAATGACTGCATGAACCGCCCTCTACAAACCAGAGGTCAATAGCACTAAGGAGAAACTGTGGTCTGGCCTCATGAGAGGATTTTGAATTAACAGTCCAATCCCAGTTGAGTGCCGTCTTTTCATTTCCTTTGACAGAAACTGCAGGTTGCGTGATGAAGTGTGGGTGTCCTGAGAGGTGGCTACCTAGTTTGCATACTTCCTGACTGACTGCACACTCCTGCCAGTGCCCTGGGGCTAGGGTGGTGAGTGTCAGTGGGAGGGGTAACCAAGTTTCACTTCCTTGCTGGTTGGAGACTCACAGCCACAGCTGGCTTCTCTTTCAGAGGAGGAGAGTGTGAGGAGCTGCAGAGCCCATCTCTGCCTCTTCCCACAGCACCTGGCAGGGGCTTCGCAGACGAGAGGAGCGCGAATGGGCAGAGCAGAGTCTCTAGAAGAGAAGATGAGCGCCCAGGATCCTTCAGACCTGTGGAGCAGATCAGACGAAGCTGAGCTGATCCAGGACTTGGGGTAAGAGAAGAGATCTCCTTTCAAAGCCTCTTGGGTGAACATTAACTCCCCACCCCCACCCAAATGCTCACTTTGATTAAGGATTACCTTTAGCACTCTGCACCTTAACCTTCTATCCCTTCCACTTGACTCATTTGTGTCTGTTAGGTGTCTCCCTGCTTGGGGACAGTTGCATTGTAAAGCATATATTATTTTTCTGGATGTGAGAACAGGTAGATGCAGAAAATAGGACAAAAATCAAATAAATGTAGGACATTCTTTGAGACCCGGGACAGAATTGAGTTGTTGTTGCTCAGTCTCCTTTATATTGATTCTTGTTTATGAATAAATGTGCTGTGAAAAATTTTGAGTTCTAAGCCTTTGATAGTAAAAGGACCATAGTGTCGGTAAGATAAACAGAAAGCTTACCCTACTGTTCAGGAGAGGGACTTTTTCAAAAGAGAAAGAATGAGGAAGTGTCTGCAGCCACGTCCCATACGCCCTTCTTTCTCCTGACGCCGCATTTGTGAGCTCTTGTGTGTGTGCATGTCTGTGTATGAGATGGAAAGTGGGGGTGAATGAGTTTAAATATAACAAGGCAGAAAGAGGATACAATTTCTGCCTCCATCAGGTTATGAGTCTGGGTAGGGAAAGTCATCATAGTCTCACCTGTAAGAAGGGACCAGATGAGACAACTCATCAGTACATTTAATCAAAGAAATAAGTATTACACAAGAGGGGATTTCCTAGAGACACTGAAAGTTCACCCTAAATCACTGGGAATATCCTGGCGAGGCTGGTTTCAACACCTGTGCTTCACGAGGGGCAAGACCTGCACCCTCTGTCTTACTAAACAGCTCTCATCTTCACAACAACCCAAAGACATGGGAACTGTTACCATCTCCATCTTACAGAGGAAAAAAATGAGCACCAAAGGGGTTGCCCACAACATACATCAATTAAATGACAAAGCTGGGATTCAAACCTGCCAAAGCCTATGTTCTGACCCGAAAAAACACTGACAGGGATGAAATCTCTCTGCACTAAGATTGCAGAGATGTTGTCTTTTGTGTCGCATCATTGTAAAAGTTCTCAATAAATCCTGTCTTTAGATTTTAAATTTGGGGTCTCAGAATCAAACTCTACCTTCTAGCTAGATGATGTCCCTTCTCCCCACCATAATGCCCATGGCAGGAAGCAAGTATAGGTGAAACCCACAAAAAAACAGATCTGTGTCCTCCCCCCATGTGCAAAGAACAGATGTTCAATACAATTCAGAAACACCACCCCCCAAAAAGGCGCGTTTATGTCCAGACTTCTCTATTTCAGAAGGCCTGGGAATTTATTAAACATTTATTAAACTGTTTCAGTAACAATAGACGAGCTACCAATATCTGGGGACATTGCTTTGTAGTTGTGGTTCTTAACCTTGGCTGTGCACTAGGACCACCCAAGGAGTTTTTAAAACTTCCTATACAGGCCACAGGTCAGACAAATGGCTTCAGTCTTTTGGGAGTGAGCACTTTCTTTTTAAACTTTTCAAGTGAATTCCAGAGTGAGACCAAGGTTGAGAATCACTGCATAGACTATAAATCCATCAGCAGCACTAAGTAAATGTGGCTTTATTTTTATTTATTGGGTATGTACCTGAATCTTAAAGCCATTAATACACGTTGACATCTTGTTTGTTGGTGTAGAAGCATTTCATTGACTAATTTTATTAAAGTATATTTTAGAGATCATAAAACTCCTTCGTTTTAAGCGCACAATTTAATAATTTTTAGTGACTTGAAAGAGTGGTACGACCATCACCATAAATCAATTTTAGAACATCTTCATTCCCCTGAGAAGAACTGTCAGGATCATGGTTTATTTAAATATGCTCAGTGGTGTGCTGATAAACCACCTAGGCTGGGGGCAGCCCTGATTTCTATAGTCTGCCTATTTCCCTGATGTAAATATTCCTATCTCGGGCGATGTCGTGCTGCCAAGGATTTAACAGCCAGTTTGCAAAATTCCTGAAAAATAATCGACTCAAGCCCCTCCAGGACATACCTGATATAACTTTTACAGGTAATAATATGACCCATTTCCTCTGGCAGAATTCTCAAACATAAATGAAACGTTTTTTCCAACCTTTAAGTCATGGGCTAGGTATGATCTATACCAAAACTCCTGGTTAATTTAGTTTTTAAAAAGCTCCAAAAAACAAAATGAAATAATGTACTTGATGCATAAAAAGTAGCTGGTGTTAATGACTTAATTTTTAAATTATTTTAAATATGTTACTTGATTAGTCAGGCAGATTCTTATGTTTGTATTTTTGATGGAAATAAACAGATAATGTGACAGTTAAATCAGAGAGATAACATGTATCTTTGTTTTTTCGGTCCCTATTTTTCTTCAGGCTCTGGAATACGTAAGCTCTAAAAATTAAACCCTGAACTGCAGCAACTCCGTCTCTTGCCTATCTAGGATACACATGACTTGCTAAGAGCAGAAACTTATTCCTTTCTAAAGTACTTAAATCAAGTAACTCGGATGGATTTCTTTGTCTCATTTATAGAGTGTCGAGCTAAAAACATTTATTTTCTTCCATCTTAAATATATTAATGTGTCCAAAAGCAAGAGGACATAAAACCATCTTCAAGTGTTGCTCAGCTTCACTGGGGGGAGGAGTGGGCAGTGGTGGACGGAGGGGCAAGGGAGTGGAGAAGGGCCCTTGAGAAGTGAGAAGTGGGCTGGGAACTGTCAAGTTATTTGTTGTTTTCAAAAAGAAGCAATAGGGAAATGAAACAGTAATGAATATTAGAGACATCACCTAAGCAACAAACTAGTGTAGAATTACTAGTCAGTGAATAATTCAAAATTCCAGGGGGAGATAGATGGGGGGAAAAGTTTAAATCATTTCTTCAATTAAAAAAATTAATTCATTAAAAAATAAAAAATAATTTAAAATTCCAGAAATTCTTTGACTATAACAAAGTTTTCTATGAGATAGTGTAATAGCAGTATAGTTACATAGTTTATAACGGCTTACCTCTTTAAAAACTATATAACTATAGGTGCAAAAGGATACCGTGAAATACAAATATTTTAGGATTTTTTAAATTAATCATATTATCTAGTCAGGCATAATTCCTTCAGGTGAGAAATACAATAACTACCCTCTTTTTTCTATACTTTCCCAAATCTCAAATTTTTTAAGGAAGTGTCAGTGTTTGGCTGTGCTGGCCAGAGACAAGAAGTGAAACTCTAAGCTCTGGATATATAAGTAAATAAATCAAAATGTCTCTCATTTCTCTGTCCCGTAACCTCCACATATAAGAGAAGGTTAGCATAGATCAGGGATCAGCAAAATTTTTTTGTAAAGAGCCAGGTAATAAATATTTTAGGCTTTGCAGGTCTGATGATCTCTGTCAAAACGACTCACATCTGCCTTCGTGTGAGAACTGCCAGAAACAACACAGAAACAATGACAATGACAGTGTTCAAATAAAATGTTATTTCTGAAACCTGAATTTTATATAATTTTCATGAGTCACAAATTATTCTTATTCTCCCCCGCCCCCCACCCGACCCCAGCCATTTAAAACCATAAAACCATTCTTTGCTTTTAGTCCATACAAAAACATGTGCTCTGGCAGGAACTGGCCCTCAGGTGGGGTTTTGCTAACCCAGGGAATAAATGATAATAACCAAAATGAGTTTTTATTAGGCAGACATTTTGCACACACTCGCTCTGGTCTTCAAAAGGTACTGGTATTCCAGCTTTAGACGCCAGCAGACTCATTAGCAGACATCCCAGTGAATCTGGGTCCCAAGCTCTTGCTTATCCAACCAAACCAGCATTCTTTCCTGTCGATGGTCATTCTTTACTGACCTCCTACTCTGTGCCAGCACCATGCCATTTGTATCCATTATATCATTTAGCCTTCACAGTAACACCTTCCATATGTACAATTATACTCACTTCATAGATGTAGAGGGTGACTTCAAATAAGTTAAGGGAACTGTCCAGGTCACCAACCTCATAAGTGGTACAGCTGAGGGACATGCCTAGATTTCCCCAAAGCTGAAGCTCTTTCCGCTGATTCAGTGAGGTATATGTTCTAATCACGGCAATTAGTAATTACTTGATGCTCACCATGTGCCAGGCACTGTATTAAGCCCTTTGCATGTATGACTTATTAAATTCACACATCTTTGTGAGGTAGATACTGTCACTAAAGTCATTCTCATTTACAAATGAGAAACATCAAGGGCAGAGCTTTTATCTCATGCCCAAGTTTACATGCTCAAAAACCTTTGAATCCAGGTGATTTCCTCCAGAACCCACATGCCTGTCCACTAATGCAACTTCTTAGTTTCCATCAAACTTCTGTCTTCTTATACTAGCACTATATACTAGTGCTAGCATAAACTGAGAAAAAGAAAGTTCTGTGATTATTATGACCAATAAATTTTATTACAAAAGACATTATTCTTCCACATTCTTCACATAATACACACGCACATGCACACAAAACCAGGTCAATATTCTAATTTATGAGAACTTTATTAAATTTTGTGTAGGCTTCATTTTTGTGGGCTACACAAATTGACAAGGCTAGAAAAGTGTAGTCAAGTCAAAGCTTTAAAGGAAACTGTTTACAGATCTGTGATGCCAAGTAGAGCAATAACGCTTGTTCCTCTTCTGTGCACAATTCTGTAACCTGGGAGTGAAAACGGAAGGTGAGTCTCTTGTGGCTGTAGGAGAGTTTGTAACTAGTGTACGATTTGATCTCTCTTTGACTCAAGTGAATTTCCTCTTCGGTTGTTTTGTTTTTTGTTCCTCTGTGGGTGATGGTGACTTCCTTCTACTTAATGTGGAAATCTGTCCACACAGGTTCTCCACACTGAAGAGGGTCACTTTGTTTCACTCTTCCATTCATTCATAGGTTCATCTGTTACTGATGACATGCAAGGGAGTGTGGGGGATACTGAAATTAAGAAGAAATGGCTGTCCCCTTGAGGAGTTT